GCGACACGCAACGCGTATTGAAGCGCCGCGTGGTCCGTCCGGACAGTAAAATGACGGCCGTAGAGATACGGTCTGAATTGCTGTATAAAGAAAACGATAGCCAGCAACCCACGACGGGTCACACAGTAGCGCTGTTCCGCTGGCGACAACACCCTGCTACCGTAGGCGACCACCCGTTCGACTCCCCCGATCACCTGTGAGAGCACCCCCCCAATACCCGTGTTACTGGCATCTGTGTCGAGCAGGAATGGTTTTGTAAAATCAGGGTAACACAAGGGCGGAGCACTCGCCAAGGCGGTCCGAAGGGAGCAGAACGCGGCCTCCTCCTCCAGCCCCCAGCGAAACCTCACCTCTTTCGCTGTCAAAGCATGAAGGGGTTTGGCTATGGTGGCAAAGTGCTCAACGAAACGGCGGTAGTAGGAGGCAAACCCTAATGAAACTGCGGACCTCAGTTACTGACGTGGGCGTTGGCCATGAACTGACACAGTGTGTCTTCGCGGGATCGGTGGAGATCCCCAAACGGCCCACAATGTGCCCCAAGTACCGTACCAATTCCCGAAGTAGGTGGCATTTAGCCGGTTTAAACTTCAATTTAGCGGATCGCATTCTGAGGAACAGCCCCCTCAGCTTTGAAGGCCGTCAACGCAGGAAGTCGCTGTTGAAACACCTGGTCGTCTTCCGATAGATTATTTTCCCGCGCTGCGCCGTCGGTATGAGAAATGGCGGCTCCGTCCATGGGTGGGTCATGGCGACTTTTGGCGCGCGCCGATCACGCGGGCGGCGAAGAGTGGAAGTCCCCGGTCGCGATTCCCGCAAACCGAGGGACGATCTGTTAAAATGGCGCCATTTTCAATGTCCGAGGCGCAAAGCGCATTTTGGCGGGAATCTCCAGCGTGTCTCCTCGCCACGCTCGCCGTCGTCCTTCCACCTCCAGATGCGGTGATTATACCGCCAGAATAGAAGCCGCGGCAAACAGCAGCTCCGCCAGGCGCGAGTGCGCATCCTGGAGTCCGGTGTTGGACCCGAGCGGAGCGTCGGGCGTCCCCGAAAGGTGCTGCGGTGTCGGCATCTCCTCTTCCTCTCCCCCCGAAGCTCGCTGGCCCGATTCGTCGTGGTCGTCTTCCCGGTCTCGCTCGTGAGTATGATTCGTCTTCCTGGTATCCATATTTCGAAGACAGTTTCACTTCTGACGCCAGTTGTAATATCTCAATTACGGCGGGAGACGAGTTGACGGGGCAGCACTTATTTATTAACACTCCTGTAACAGTAACAGATACAGCCGAGTTACAGCCTACGCTACGCGTGCCTAACTCGGCCACGCTCTCAGGCCGTTCGGCTACACTCTCAGGCCGTTCGGCTACACTCACGTAACAGTAACGGATACAGCCTACGCTACGCGTGCCTAACTCGGCCACGCTCTCAGGCCCTCCGGCTACACTCTCCCCACAGGGAGCTATCGGGCCGCCTTGCCAGGCACAGACCCCGACCTCTGGGTTACACAACCCGGCCCTTACAAGGACATCGGGCTGTGAATCCCAAGGTCTCGCCTCTGAGCCGCACAGAGCCCCGGCCCTTACAAGGGCAGCGGGACTAGGGGTCTCAGGGCCTATCTCTTCCTCCGTCTTCTGTCTTCACTGGTAGACTTCTCCCCGAGTGCTACTGCGCATCGCCTTACATAGCCCTCCGCTCCAGGGGGCGGGGCCTATGCGGACCGCGATGTGGACACCCGCCTGCGGACCGCGATGTAGCCACCCACCACGCGCTGTCACACACCACCACTACATAAGCAGTAAAATATTATTATCTACGGAGTCTGTAGTATAAACTGGATGCATCGTGTTGGGGAGGGGGGGCGAAGAGGACATGACACTGTGAATAAATATCGGCAGCGTGATGTGTGTATGTGTTGGCTGTAAAACGCGTAAAAAAAAATGTCCGCCGTGAGCTGGAGCGAAGGCGCATGACTTGGTAGGGTCCGCCCCCCCCACGCAATTGACGTTACTTGGTACGGTCGATGTCGTACAATAAGTAAATAATGAATAATAGAAACGGCACAAATCTGTTAATTAAACTACTTTAAAGTTTACGGATGGGAAAACGGAATAGCCTATTCCCACCACGACGCTTAGGGCGTGTCGCCCGGCAAATTATTTCGGTCTTAAACCCCACCGTCCGAGAGCCAAATCCCCCGTAAGCGCGAGCGCGCGGAGACTTTTATATAAAAGATTTGTCGTTGTTTTTCTTTTTAATCGCATCAAAAATTACCAATAGATTCATCGATGTAAACTAGGCGTATGAAACCTTCGTTACGAATCTACAAGCTCACAGGGAGAATATTGTGTTAAACCTTTCTTTTGATCACAGAATCTTGCCCACGAATGAATTGAAGCCTTAGCCAAAAGATAAGCATCTTGCGTAAGCAGGCATTCACTGCTGCACACCATTGTACCAAGACATTTAGTTAATTATATAATCTTGCCGATTAATCTATTGACGTATATTTTTACCTTCTGGATATAATAATACTCTTTTTATTACCTTTCGTATGAATATCGTCGCATGCCTGTTTAAGGACTTTTCCCTATCGCCGTATATGCTCGCGTTACTCGGAGGAATTAATCAATTGTTCGGTTGCCCAGTATAACAACGTAATCATTGATGGTTAAATGTACGGATTAATGAGGGGGACTTCCCCAGTGGTATTGTGCTGATAATTCCAAGCATAAGAGTTCGCATATTAGAGTGTTATGTTTTTGTTTAGAAATTAAAATTGCTTAACACACAAGTGTATGAGTGGTTCCTTCCTGAGTTCATGCTTAATAATCTTATTTATAAGAACTGTATCCTGCGTTGAGATTTGAATTTGGAGACCTGACATAAACACACTAAGACATAATCAGTAAATGTTAAAGCGAGGATAATTGTATTATTCCGATTAATAATACGACCCTAGACAACGAAGATAAGCCTAATTATAATAACTGCATACATTAGTAATCGCAATTTAATAGATCACCGCCCCAATTATCATAATGTATGCACACAATTACATAAATTAGCATAATAATGTAGCTTCCACACAGCGTTACGCAACCAATGAAAAGATAATGCCGCTCGACTGATTTGGAGTGAGACCTCTGCTGTTAAACCGGAGCCGGTCATGAGCACACTGCCCAAGTATCGGAAACTCTCCACTCTATCCACAACTGCCCCATCACCGATTGGGAGTTGTGGGGGTGGAGTGTCCGATGGTACAAAATACCCAGGCAGGTGCTTAGTTTTGTTGGGGCTGATGGTAAGGCCCCACCTCTTCGTGGCACGCTCCAGTTTGTGTGTAAATCAGTCACTAACACACAAACTCAAACTAATACATGCTCACTAATACACACAAACACACACTAATACATGCTCACATAATACTCACTAATACACACATAATACTCGTGAACACTCACATAACATGCACTAACACACACACTAATACACGCTTACTAATACATACGCACAATTGCACACAGTGTTGATATACGGTGTTTTTTCTGGAAGACTTTGCTGTTTTTTCCAGGATTTTTCTGTTGCGTGTAGTCCGTTTAAGATGTTCCTTATTCCTGTTTTTGTTTGTTGCGATTGCATCAGAGTTAAGAGCCGCATGGCTCACAGTGTTATACCATATAAATGAAACTGAAAACTTAAATGAAAAAAATGAATATCTGCTTGCCATTATTTTTCTTATACTTCTACTTTCATAGTTAGTTATTACTTAGGTTATTACTAAAAGCAGTAATAATCGAATGCAGAGGCAATTATTTAATATGATAAAGAGTAGATACATTTATATAGTCTTACAGATACAACCGGCCCTTTGAGGGCACCCAGAATGACGATGCGGCCCAAGATGAAATTGAGTTTGACACCCCTGGTGTAGAGCATAGATGAATGTTGTTCCATTGCCATAACGTAGCTCCGCAGGCTACAACACCTGTTGGTATGCATGTCAATAACGGGTAGAAGCACCATCCAGTCTCAATCCTATTTAGATTTTCAGATTTTTGAGATGTAACATGTACACTAATATACACACACTCACATGTACATATACACTATCCATATACACTAATACTTGCGCCTTATTGCACACTCACACACACTTATACACACCCCTGTTTGAGTCCGCAGTTGTTGTGATGTTACAGTATTTTTTTACATTAAAATAAATGCAAGCAATCTTCATATAATAAGGATTGACATTCATAAGGTGCAATTCGTCCAGTGATCTGAGTGCGCCATGGACAAAGTAAGTTAATATACGCATGTATGTGCAGGCAGTCCCCGGTTTACGCAAATCCGAATTTACGGAAATGCTCCCATAAATCACGTAAAAAAATTCAACGTGTGGAAATGTTTGTGTTAGTGACATAAGTGCAACTAGTGCAGCGTGTTGAGGGTGCGGATGTCTACTTAAAGCCCCGCCTCAACCAAAATGCCGCGTTCAACGTGCCCGAGCTTCACGAGGATTAAGGTAAATTTCATTTTTTTATAGCATAACGTTATTATTTTCCTTTTGTAGCATTACGTAATTGTTTGTTTTATATGCTTAGAACTATATATTTTCCCATATTTCTATTGCTGGTTTTCATTTTAAGTTTATTTCACGAGTTATGTACTTTAGTTACTGCGTGTTTGTATGTATGTGTGTAGACAAGGTCTGGCAAAACAACACCCTTATAAACACAACAAACACGTTTCAGATTATAAAGGTACAGTGCAGTATAAATTAATGAATAATTGTGAGTGAACTGATATTTGTGAATGCCACCTATTATATATAAAATGTATAACACAGAAGCATTAAACAATGAGCAACTTTGCTCATGAACGTGTGTGCTCTGGTCATGTTCACCACCATTGTGAGTGTCCCTCACTCACCGCGTGTTTGACTCCGCGGTTCCCGTGGGCTCGGTGAGTCAGCGCTGTCCCTTCTCCCGTCCACACGGGTTTAGGCTGAATAACAACAAGATCAGAGACAGCGGCCTCCGACTTTTAGCGGACGGGATGTTGGGGAGAGAAGGGAGTTTGGAGACGTTAGAGTGAGTAATGTCCTGATCCACACACTTATATAAGCACACCTAAACAAAAATGTATACACATGTGGACACAAAACACAAAGATACTCAGTATAAGGTAAAACATTTTGGAACGTCTATTATAACTTTCTTTTTTATTCACTTTTTACAGCACTTTTCACCACTATTAAATAACAACACAATTACAATTGTCACATTACCTACTCTTACCAATGATATTGTTTCAACCTATATTATGTTAATACAGTAGATCATCGATTATCCGGCAGCCGGATTTTCAAAAACACCAGATAATAGCATCATATAAAAATGGCTTATTTTTGCAAATTCTTTAATAAGATGATATTTTTTAGGTGTTCTGTATATATATTTAGTGTTTTTAAATAGCTTGCGATATCAAAATCGCTTACATAAATATACAAAGACAAAATAAATATCCTGCAGTAGAAAGTGACTATTTACTGTACTGCACTCACCACTCCAATATCGAAGACTCTGCATGGGGTGGTGTGTGTATTCCGCTCTTGTTCAACAACTTGTGTTTGACAACAACTTGTGTTTGACGACAACAACTTGTGTTTGGCAACAACAACCTATGTTTGACAACAACAACCTGTGTTTGACAATAGACTGATGCAGCCTTCAGATCGGTGCTCTGGCGAACGCCGAATTGCACGCAATTTTCTCCAGATCGCACTGTATATTTTCTGCTTCTATTACTGTAATTATTAGTCATGAATAATGTATATACGTTCAGCATTTCATTGTTTAAGTTGTATGTAGTGTGTAATGTACTGTATATAGTATTTGACACTGAAATGTTTTGTCACGCACATGGTGCCGATCGCCGGACTGGTACAGCCTTTGCAGCGGTTTCACCGGATGTTGGAAGCCAGATAGGCACGCTCTGGATATAATTGATGATCATCTGTATTTCACGTCATAGATAAAATTTGGTTAAAAACTTAAGTGATTTCAAGAATTTATATTTTTGGGTCTTTCGGTAAAGTCACGTAGATAGGTTCAAATAAAAAAACCAAAAACTACGTTTCGATCGCAACACAAGCAATCGTCATCAGGAGAAAAAACGGGCGGGAAAGCTGCTGAGGCAGGCTGTTTTAAAGGTTTGAAATGGGTGTAGTCACCCATATGACCCTTGGACTACACCCATTTAAAACCTTTAAAACAGCCTGCCTCAGCAGCTACCCCGCACTTTTTTCTCCTGATGACGATCGCTTGTGTTGCGATCGAAACGTCGTAGTTTTTTGTTATCTTTGTTATTTTATTTGAACCTATCTACTTAACTTTACCGAAATACCCAATAATATGTGTACAGTCTCCACAAACACGACTCTCAACCACTGTTCCGTCAACCACCGTGGTACCACCTCTCACCATACCTCACTCTGTGCCCAGACCCTCCACCCATCCCCTCTGCCACCACTAACCATCTCTTCTCTCCCTGCAGCCTGTATAAGTGTTCACTGACAGACAAGTCGGGTTCCTCTCTCAGTGTCATCCTCAAGGCCAACATAGGTTTGAAGATTCTCTGGTAAGCTCTGCTGTTCGTTTCTCACATGTGCTCTGTGCACGAACTGTGCTAATTGTTGGTGCAACGCGTCGTGAAGTAAACATTTAAATGTGAACACATTTAATCTTGCTGTCCTGCTTAATCGAGTCCACTTTAAAAAAAATTACTGTAATCTTAACACATTTGTTTAATTTAACACGTAGGCTAAAGCAATATTCATATTGTTAGTAGATACATTAATTAATTGTAAACATATCGCTGTGTTCCTCGATGAAAATGTACTTGTGTGTGATCCTCTGTTGTAACTTTGTGTTGAGAAAACACCAACACTTTTTATATTAGAAACATACAGTGCAGTATAATTGAATGGATGATTGTGAGTAAACTGATATTTTTGAATGCCATGTGTTATATATAAGATGTATAATGGGTTCATTTAGGCACACACACTTCTTGGGAGGCAACACTCATTTATTAGAACAATAAGTATATAACACTGTACATTACACATAGGGTGGTGACCACCGACCTACTCTAGCTAACACACACTTCTCTAACTCTCAGCTACTCTAGTGTGACCCAGCCAGGTGGCTACTGGCAGGTCCGCTGACTGGAGGCTTGACTATTCTTGGCGTCTTCACGAGGCATCTTCATTCTTGGCACGGGCAGCCTCGAATCTCGTGAGGAGGCTGCTTATATGGGCCTCGACGTGCCCAGGCCCACCCCGGCCACGCCTCCCTTCGAGCACCCGCTCGAAGCCCCCCTGCTGTCCACGTGCCCCCCGAGGTCCCCCTAGGCCCCCGGCCCCCACTGGGATCTGGTCACGTGTCCAGCACCAGCCCTGACGTCATTTCCAGCCAGGATGACGTCATGTGTGTGTGAAACCCACGTGGTAGTAACGCTCCCGGCATAGTGATGTCACACGTGTGCGTGTGTACACAGTAGTGATACCACAATCATTACAAATGTATAACACAGAAGCATTAAACAAGAGCAGCTTTGCTCATGAACGTGTGTGCTCTGGTCATGTTCACCACCATTGTGAGTGTCCCTCACTCACCGCGTGTTTGACTCCGTCCACCCGGGTTTAGGCTGAGTCACAACGAGATCGGAGACAGCGGCCTCCGACTTTTAGCGGACGGGATGTTGGGGAGAGAAGGAAGTTTGGAGACGTTACAGTGAGTAATGTACTGATGCACACACACTTATATAAGTACACCTAAACAAATATATACACACATGTGGACACAAAACACAAAGATACTCCTCTTCTTGGTTCTTTCGGTAAAGTCACGTAGAAGGGAAATAATAAAATAATATAAATAAAACATAAACTAAATTTCGATTTAAAGCTTTCGTGACTGCAGGGATTCATCTTCTTGGTTCTTTCGGTAAAGTCACGAAGAATGGAAATAATAAAATAATAAAAATAAAACATAATAAAATAATTCTCACGACGTTTCGGCCACAACGCAAGCAGCCGTCCTCAGGTGAAGAACAGGTCTGTCAAGAAGACAGAGTCTGAATGACAACCCCAGGCTTGGAGCGTCTTTTTTAAGCTGGGATGGAGGGGGGGAGAGCGCCTTGACAAAATAATTTGCATATCAAGAGGAATTTAGCATATTTATGGGAAATGCAGATATGCGATTTGTAATACTTGTGAAATGCGTAGGAGTTTGGCGAGGGGTTTAAAGTCATTATGCCCGTGCATTATGCAGGATTAGCAGCATCAAAGGGAGGGGGTAAGGGTAGCATTAATAAAGAGAAGGAATGTTAATAGTATATATCTGCAGTAACTAAACCACCACGTAAACAACTAACGTATAAACTACATAGTATCATCAGTATACTAAATATACTCTTCAATAAGCTGAGCTACTAACAGTAAGTAATACATTACAATTCTACATCGCATAAAATATAATATGCTTCCAGCTAAACTTTATTCTCTTACATCACACGGGTATACCCTGTACTATATACTGCCATAGACAAACCCAACATTAAATTACATACTGTATTATTATAATACACCACTCTATACCTTATACATTGTAATATTACACTATGTATTATTCTACCTACCCTACTGTATATTACACTGCTGTATATTCACTATACAATTACGATACTATGTATTACTTTTTACATTGTATAAAACATTACAATTGTATACTATTTATTATTATACAATCAGCTATACACTATACCATTGACCGCCGCGTGAAAGATACTAAGAGGAAGCAACGAAATATGTCAATGGGAGAGTGGTGGTAGGAAACTTGCAGCGGAGCAGAGAATCCATTCCCTGCGGAGAATACAAGATATATAGTCAATGCCAGTGAGTGGACTGCGGTCTGAAAGTCACCGTAAACGTGAACACACTCAGTTAAGATCCGATATGGTTTATTACGTCCTTCCAATGATTGCTGAGCCAGAATCCATCTTCTCGGTTGAAATTGTCTCTGTGTTTGTATATGTGGATCGCCTCATGAACGAATCTCTCATGGTAGCCAGATGGTTTGCAGAGAACCTCTGTCTTGGAGAAGTCAATATCATGTGAGCCCACTGAATTGTAACAGTGATCTGCCACGGCTGAGGTGTTTGTCCTACCGTGTTTCAAGTCTGCTTTATGTTCACGGATGCGGTCCGAGACATGTCGTTTGGTTTCTCCAATGTAACTGCTACCACAGAGGCAACTTAGTTTGTAGATGCCAGGGTACTGTATGTCTGGAACCACATCTTTTACAGACGGGACCAGATCACGGATTTTATGTACTGTGTTGAATCGGACCTGGATCTTGTGTTTTATCAGGATTTTGGAGATGTTTTTTGTGACCCCAGCAATGTAGGGTAAGGTGATGGTTTTGAAAGGCTCCTCAACAGGATCCTTCTCAATGCTTGGAGTGATGGCTTTGCAGATTGTATAGTCGGAGTAACCATTAGCTTTAAGAGCTTGGCGTACGTGTTTGAGTTCACTGGCAATGTGTTCCTGGTCGGAGATGCATTGGGCTCTATGGTATAGAGTCTTGATGAGGGAATTATTCTGGGATGGATGGTGGTGGGAATCCGGTTTTAGGGAAGCATCCGTATGGGTGGCTTTCCTGTAGACAGAGTGGCTCATTGAACCATCAAGTCTCCTTTTAATTAGGACATCCAAAAAGGGTAGCTTGCCATCTTTTTCGACTTCCATGGTGAATCTGATGGCTGGGTGTATGGAATTGATGTGGTTGAGGAATTGGTCTAGAGCAGGCCGGCCATGTGGCCAGATGACAAAAGTGTCATCTACGTACCTCTTCCATAAGGTCGGGCGTAGAGTGGCAGTCTGGATGGCGTCAGTCTCAAATTTCTCCATGAAAACGTTGGCTACAACCGGAGATAGGGGGGAGCCCATTGGGGTGCCCTCAGTTTGTTTGTAGAAAGTTCCATTCCAGGTGAAGTATGTATTGGTTAAGCAGTGTCTCACCAGGGGGGGTACCCCCATATTCAGTCCTTGATGAACCAAGTCTTCAATGATTGCGATGGTGTCAGGTACAGGAACTTTGGTGAATAAGGAAACCACATCAAAACTGACAAGCAGGTCGTCTGGGGACAGGGAAATTCCCTTGATTGTCGATACCAGGTCAGTAGATTTTAGTACCGCAGAGGTGGTTTTTCCAGTGAAAGGCCGCAGGATTTCAGACAAAAAACGAGCCAGTTTGTAGGTGGGGGAGTTGATTTAGAGACAATGGGACGAAGAGGTGTATCTTCTTTATGTATCTTTGGCAAGCCATATTATCTTGGTGGCCTGGCTGCAGAAGGTTTCAACGAGAATTGTTTGGTTTGATCACCACTCTCCCATTGACATATTTCGTTGCTTCCTCTTAGTATCTTTACCGCGACGGTCAATGGTATAGTGTATAGCTGATTGTATAATAATAAATAGTATACAATTGTAATGTTTTATACAATGTAAAAAGTAATATATAGTATCGTAATTGTATAGTGAATATACAGCAGTGTGATATACAGTAGGGTAGGTAGAATAATACATAGTGTAATATTACAATGTATAAGGTATAGAGTGGTGTATTATAATAATACAGTATATAATTTAATGTTGGGTTTGTCTATGGCAGTATATAGTACGGGGTATACCCGTGTGATGTAAGAGAATAAAGTTTAGCTGGAAGCATATTATATTTTTTGCGACGTAGAATTGTAATTTATTACTTACTGTTAGTAGCTCAGCTTATTGAAGAGTATATTTAGTATACTGATGATACTATGTAGTTTATACTTTAGTTGTTTACGTGGTGGTTTAGTTACTGCAGATACATACTATTAACATTCCTTCTCTTTATTAATGCTACCCCTACCCCCTCCCTTTGATGCTGCTAATCCTGCATAATGCACGCGCATAATGACTTTAAACCCCTCGCCAAACCTCCTACGCATTTCACAAGTAGTACTAATCGCATATCTGCATTTCCCATAAATATGCTAAATTCCTCTTGATATGCAAATTATTTTGTCAAGGCGCTCTCCCCCCCTCCATCCCAGCTTAAAAAAGACGCTCCAAGCCTGGGGTTGTCATTCAGACTCTGTCTTCTTGACAGACCTGTTCTTCACCTGAGGACGGCTGCTTGCGTTGTGGCCGAAACGTCGTGAGAATTATTTTATTATGTTTTATTTTTATTATTTTATTATTTCCATTCTACGTGACTTTACCAAAAGAACCAAGAAGATTATAAAATAATTCTCATGACGTTTCGGCCACAACGCAAGCAGCCGTCCTCAGGTGAAGAACAGGTCTGTTGGAAAGACAGCATCTGAATGAAACACCACCAGGCTTGGAGCGTATTTTTAAGCTGGGTTGGAGGGGGAAGAGCGCCTTGACAAAATAATTTGCATATCAATAGGAATTTAGCATATTTATGGGAAATGCAGATCTAGGATTAGTCATTACTTGTGGAATGCGTAGGAGGTGGGCGGGGGGTTTCAAAGTCATAATATGCCCGTGCATTATGCAGGATTAGCAGCATCAAAGGGTGGGAGTAGGGTTAGCATTAATAAAGGGAAGGAATGTTAATAGTATGGAGCTGCAGCAACTAATATGCTTATAGACTATACATTGTAATATTACACTATGTATTATTCTACCCACCCTACTGTATACCACACTGCTGTATATTCACTATACAATTGCGATACTATATATTACCTTATACATTGTATTAAACATTACACTTTTATACTATTTATTATTACTGTATACAATCTTCTATACACTATACCATTGACCGTCGCGTGAAAGGTACTAAGAGGAAGCAACGAAATATGTCAATGGGAGAGTGGTGGTAGGAGACTTGCAGCGGAGCAAAGAATCCATTCCCTGCGGAGAATAAAATATATATAGTCAATGCCAGTGAGTGGACTGTGGTCTGAAAGTCACCGTAAACGTGAACACAATCAGTTAAGATCCGAAATGGTTTATTACGTCCTTCCAATGATTGCTGAGCCAGAATCCATCTTCTCGGTTGAAATTGTCTCTGTGTTTGTATATGTGGATCGCCTCATGAACGAATCTCTCATGGTAGCCAGATGGCTTGCAGAGAACCTCTGTCTTGGAGAAGTCAATGTCATGTGAGCCCACTGAATTGTAACAGTGATCTGCCACGGCTGAGGTGTTTGTCCTACCGTGTTACAAGTCTGCTTTATGTTCACGGATGCGGTCCGAGACATGTCGTTTGGTTTCTCCAATGTAACTGCTACCACAGAGGAAACTTAGTTTGTAGACGCCAGGGTACTGTATGTCTGGAACCACATCTTTTACAGACGGGACCAGATCACGGATTTTATGTACTGTGTTGAATCGGACCTGGATCTTGTGTTTAATCAGGATTTTGGAGATATTTTTTGTGACCCCAGCAATGTAGGGTAAGGTGATGGTTTTGAAAGGCTCCTCAACAGGTTCCTTCTTGATGGTTGGAGTGATGGCTTTGCGGATTGTGTAGTCGGAGTAACCATTAGCCTTAAGAGCTTGGCGTACGTGCTTGAGTTCACTGGCAAGTGTCTGAGTATCTGCCCGTGCATAATGCACGGGCAGATACTCATTATAGCATTATGTAATTTAATGTCTATTATGACTTAATTTTTTATGCTGTCATCAATTCAGTTATTAGCCACACTTATTACAGCACTTTTCACCACTATTAAATAACAATACAATTATAATTGTCACATTACCTACTCTAACCAATGATATTGTTTCAAACTATATTATGTTAATACAGTAGATCATCGATTATATCCAGCGGCTTCGGAGGGAAGGGGGTACAGTACTTGGTTTTCAAAAACACCAGATAATCGCGTCATTATTTAAAATGGCTTATCTTTGCAGATTCTTGAATAAGATTATGTTTTTAGGTGTTATGTATATATATTTAGTATTTTAAAATTGTTTGCGATATGAAAATCGCTTAAATATACAAAGACAAAATAAATATCCTGCTGTAAAAAGTGACTATTTACTGTACCGCACTCACCACTCCAATATCGAAGACTCTGCATGGGGTGATGTGCGTACTACGCTCTTGTTCAACAACTTGTGTTTGATAACAACTTGTGTTTGGTAACTTGTGTTTGATAACAACAACTTGTGTTTGACAACAACAACTTGTGTTTGACGACAACTTGTGTTTGACGACAACAACTTGTGTTTGACAACAACAACTTGTGTTTGACAATCGACTGACTCATGCAGCCTTCAGATCGGTGCTCTGGCGAACGCCGAATTGCACGCAATTTTCGCCAGATCGCACTGTATATTTTCTGCTTCTATTACTGTAGTTATTAGTCATGAAAAATACACATTTTTCATTAAAAAATGTGTAAAATACACATTTTTAATGAACGTGTATACGTTCAGCATTTCATCGTTTAAGTTGTTGTATGTAGTGTGTAATGTACTGTATATAGTATTTGACACTGAAATAGCATAGCTACTTGTTTTGTCACGCATATGGTGCCGATCGCCGGACTGGTACAGCCTTTGCAGCGGCTTCACCGGTTTCACCGAATGTTGGAAGCCAAATAAACACGAACTGGATTTAATCGATGATCATCTGTATTTAACGTCATAGATTAAATTTTGGTTCAAAACTTTAGTTATTTCAGGAATTCATATTCTTGGGTCTTTCGGTAAAGTCGCGTAGATAGGTTCAAATAAAAAAACAAAAAACTACGACGTTTCGATCGCAACACAAGCGATCGTCATCAGGAGAAAAAAGGGCGGGAAAGCTATTGAGGCAGGCTGTTTTAAAGGTTTTAAATGGGTGTAGTCAAAGGGTCATATGGTGACTACACCCATTTCAAACCTTTAAAACTGCCTGCCTCAGCAGCTTTCCCGCTCTTTTTTCTCCTGATGACGATCGCTTGTGTTGCGATCGAAACGTCGTAGTTTTTTGTTTTTTTATTTGAACCTATCTACGCGACTTTACCGATAGACCCAAGAATATGTGCACAGTCTCCACAAACACGACCCTCAACCACTGTTCCGTCAACCACCACCACCTCTCACCATCCCTCACCATCCCCCACACTGTGCCCAGACCCTCCACCCATCCTCTCTGCCCCCAGTAACAGTCTCTTCTCTCCCTGCAGTCTGTCTGCCTGCTCCCTGATAGACAAGTCGGGTTCCTCTCTCAGTGTCATCCTCAAGGCCAACACAGGATTGAAGAGTCTCACGTAAGCTCTGCTGTTCGTTTCTCACATGTGCTCTGTGCACGAACTGTGCTAATTGTTGGTGCAACGCGTCGTGAAGTAAACATTTAAATGTGAACACATTTACTTTTGCTGTCCTGCTTAATCGAGTCCACTTTCAAAATGTTTTACTGTAATCTTAACACAATTATTTAGTTTAACACGTCGGCTAAAGCAATATTCATATTGTTAGCAGATACATTAATTAATTGTAAACATCTCCCTGTGTTCCTCGATGAAAATGTACTTGTGTGTGATCCTCTGTTGTAACTTTGTGTTGAGAAAACACAAACACTTTTTATATTAGAAAAGTGCAGTATAATTGAATGGATGATTGTGAGTAAACTGATATTTGTGAAAGCCACCTGTTATATATAAAATGTATAACACAGAAGCATTAAACAATGAGCAGCTTTGCTCATGAACGTGTGTGCTCTGGTCATGTTCACAACCATTGTGAGTGTCCCTCACTCACCACGTGTTTGACTCCGCGGTTCCCGTGGGCTCAGTGAGTCAGCGCTGTCCCTTCTCCCGTCCACCCGGGTTTAGGCTGCGTTTCAACACGATCGGAGACAGCGGACTCCGACTTTTAGCGGATGGGATGTTTGGGAGAGAAGGAAGTTTGGAGACGTTAGAGTGAGTAATGTCCTGACGCACACACACTAATATAAGCACACCTAAACAATTATATATAACATATATGTACGCAAAACACAAAGATACTCAGTATAGCATAATAATGTTTTTTAACGTCGATTATAACTTTATTTTTTATGCACTCATCAATTAAGTTATTAGCCACACTTATTACAGCACTTTTAACCACTATTAAATAACAATGCAATTACAATTGTCACATTACCTACTCTAACCAATGATATTGTTTTAAACTATATAATATTAATACAGTAGATCATTGATTAAATTATCCAGCGGCTTCGGAGGGAAGGGGGAACTGGATTTTCAAAAACGGCAGATAATCGCATCATTATTTAAAATAGTTTATTTTTGCACATTATTGAATAAGATGTTTATAGGTGTTCTGTATGTATATAGTTTTTTAAATAGTTTGCGATGTGAAAATCGCTTAAATAAATATACAAAGTTAAAATAACTATCCTGCTGTAAAAAGTGACTGTATTTACTGTACCGCACTCACCACTCCAATATCGACGACTCTACATGGGGTGATGTGTCAACAACTTGTGTTTGACAACGACTTTCGATTTAAAGCTTTCGTGTCTGCAGGGATTAATCTTCTTGGTTCTTTCGGTAAAGTCACGTAGAAGGGAAATAATAAAACAAAACATAATAAAATAAATAAGCTTCCTTTTTCCCTTCTACGTGACTTTACCGAAAGAACCAAGAAGAAGAACGACTTGTGTTTGACAACAACTTGTGTTTCACAACAACAACACGTGTTTGACAATCGTCGGACTGATGCAGCCTTCAGACCGGTGCTCTGGCGAACGCCGAATTGCACGAAATTTTCGCTCGATCGCAGTGTATATATACTGTTTCTATCACTAGTTATTAGTCATGAAAAATGTATATACAGTGAGGGAAAAAAGTATTTGATCCCCTGCTGATTTTGTACGCTTGCCCACTGACAAATAAATGATCAGTCTATAATTTTAATGGTAGGTTTATTTCAGGCATGTCCAAAGTCCGGCCCGCGGGCCAATCACGGCCCGCGGTCAGATTTCATACGGCCCCCAGCTTCGGTCTTATAATGTGCTATTTATGGCTCGCTAGCTCTGTCAGAATAAATGAATCATAAAACTATAAAGATTTAATTCCTCCTTTCACCACACGGTGGCAGCACCATTCTAATGCTATCTGGCTCTGCATCCGTGCCGCGAACCCTTCTCGAATAATTTCTGCCATGGCAACTGCAAAAAAAAAGATAAAAGTTGACAGTGAGAGCCGCCGCTTTCAGGAGCGGTGGGCATTACAATACTTCTTCACTGAAAATCGAGGCAATTGTGTTTGTCTAATTTGTAAAGAGACGGTTGCCTTGTTTAAGGATTTCAACGTAAAGAGACACTACGAGACTAAACATGCTACAACATACGACAAGCTAACAGGGAGTGACCGCGCTGAAAAAGTGAAGCAACTCCAAGCTGCTCTAGCATCGCAACAGCGATTCTTCACGCGGGCCTGTGAGTCAAAGGAAAACATCACCAAAGCCAGTTACGAAGTGGCCATGTTAATAGCTAAACATGGCAAACCTTTTACTGAACGTGCGTTTATCAAAGACTGTGTCATGAAAATGGTGGAGAACATTTGCCCCGAGAAGAAGCAAGAATTTATGAATGTTTGCCTGACACGCAACACTGTGGCACGGAGAGTTGAGTACATATCGTCAGATATTCAGAGACAACTGGGGGACAGGGGAGTGGCTTTTGATTATTTCTCATTAGCCTGCGATGAAAGCACCGATGCATTTGACACTGCACAACTACTTATTTTTTAAAGAGGAGTTGATGACAACATGAAAGTGACAGAGGAGCTGCTTGACCTCAAAAGCCTTAAAGGGCAAACCAGAGGAACAGATTTATTCGTTTCTGTTTGTGAAGCTGTTGATGATATGAAACTACCATGGAGTAAAGTTTCTGGGATCATTACCAATGGTGCACCTGCCATGGCTGGTGAGCGAAGTGTATTGTCCACACTGATCTGCAATAAAGTCAGTGAAGAAGCAGGTAACGCTATTAAACTTCACTGTATCATTCACCAGCAGGCTCTCTGTGCCAAACATCTCAAATTTGACGATGTTATGAAACCAGTGGCAAAGGCAATCAATTATATTCGCTCTAACGCTCTATACCACTGACCGTTTCAGCAGTTCTTGCGTGACATCCAGGCTGAATACGGTGACGTAATATATCACAACGATGTGAGGTGGCTAAGTCGGGGGTCCGCACTGCAGCGATTTTTCTCTCTCAAAGAGGAAATTGGACATTGTTTGGGTGAGAAGGGACAACCAATGGAAGAACTGTCCGATCCTGTATGGCTGGCAAATCTGGCTTTTTTGGTTGCCATAACGAAGCATATGAATGCGCTGAATGTTAATCTTAAATGAAAAGATGCAGTGGTGAGCCAGCTATACGCTCACATCAAGGCCTTTGGAACCAAACTGCAACTTTTCCAAAGACACTTGTCCCAAACAGAGCCCTGCTCTGCGCACTTCCCAGCTTTGAAAGAGGTCATTGACAGTTTCCCACAGGACAACATCGGTGCACAAATGAAGAGTTATGCAAAAGCTATCGCATCTCTTTCTGTGGAATTTAACTAACGCTTTTGGGACTTTGTAGTTATTGAAAAGGACATGTTGCTTTTCTCTTCTCCCTTCTCCGTGGACCCTGATGATGCTCCTCCACAGCTGCAGCTGGAGCTCATTGAGCTGCAGTGTGACGATGAGGGCCGCGGAAAACACCAGCAGTGTTCTCTTGTTGACTTTTACCGGCAGCTGGACAAAAGCAGGTTTCCAGAAATGCGGTCATTCGCTAAGAAAATTCTGAGTTTATTCGGCTCCACATATTTGTGTGAGCAAACATTCTCAGTCATGAACTTAAACAAGAACCGATTGAAGTCAAGGATGAGTGACTCCCACTTGCGTGACATTTTACGCATCTCAACCACTGCCCTCAAGTATCACCCTTTTCATTAGTATCAGCAAGTTATATGTTCCTTGATCAATCTGAAATTGAGTGTTTTGAACGGTAACATCTGTCACTATTAACAGTGAAAAGCCTAAAGCACACTAATGCACTTGGATTTATGGCACTTGTTTTATTAAACTCTTGAATAAGATTTGGTTATAACTGTTGATGTTATGTACCTGTAGATGTGACACAAACTATTGCTTTTTGAAAGATCTTGTAAAAGACACGGGCAAAAATCACTTTTTTAAAGTTTAATAATAACAGACCACTTTGCATTACTTATAACTCCTGTTTAAAATGTACATGAGGCAAAGATTTAACTCATGGAAATTTAAGGTATTCTATACAGTTTGTTCAATGTTATCTAACTGAATGAAAGGCAGAATTGTGTTTTTAGAGTTGTTCACGTCTGCCTGAGTGGCTTATATTTGGTTACATTGTCATTTGAAAAATAAAGGTAATTGTGACAATGATTTTTTTTATAACTGTGTATTTTCATGTAACTTTTGTGGTAAAAAAAAATGTCAAAAGGAACTATTGGCCCCCGGGCATCTTCACTTTATCAAATTTGGCCCTCTTTGCAAAAAGTTTGGACACCCCTGGTTTATTTGAACAGTGAGATAAAGAATAACAACAACAAAATCCAGAAAAACGCATGTCAAAAATGTTATAAATTGATTTGCATTTTAATGAGGGAAATAAGTATTTGACCCCCTCTCAATCAGAAAGATTTCTGGCTCCCAGGTGTCTATTATACAGGTAACGAGCTGAGATTAGGAGCACACTCTTAAAGGGAGTGCTCCTAATCTCAGCTTGTTACCTGTATAAAAGACACCTGTTCACAGAAGCAATCAATCAGATTCCAAACTCTCCACCATGACCAAGACCAAAGAGCTCTCCGAGGATGTCAGGGACAAGATTGTAGACCTGCACAAGGCTGGAATGGGCTACAAGACCATCGCCAAGCAGCTTAGTGAGAAGGTGACAACAGTTGGTGCGATTATTCGCAAATTGAAGAAACACAAAAGAACTGTCAATCTCCCTCGGCCTGGGGCTCCATGCAAGATCTCACCTCGTGGAGTTGCAATGATCATGAGAACGGTGAGGAATCAGCCCAGAACTACACGGGAGGATCTTGTCAATGATCTCAAGGCAGCTGGGACCATAGTCACCAAGAAAACAGTTGGTAACACTACGCCGTGAAGGACTGAAATCCTGCAGCGCCCGCAAGGTCCCCCTGCTCAAGAAAGCACATATACATGCCCGTATGAAGTTTGCCAACGAACATCTGAATGATTCAGAGGACAACTGGGTGAAAGTGTTGTGGTCAGATGAGACCAAAATGGAGCTCTTTGGCATCAACTCAACTCGCCGTGTTTGGAGGAGGAGGAATGCTGCCTATGACCCCAAGAACACCATCCCCACCGTCAAACATGGAGGCGGAAACATGCTTTGGGGGTGTTTTTCTGCTAAGGGGACAGGACAACTTCACCGCATCAAAGGGACGATGGACGGGGCCATGTACTGTCAAATCTTGGGTGAGAACCTCGTTTCCTCAGCCAGGGCATTGAAAATGGGTCGTGGATGGGTATTCCAGCATGACAATGACCCAAAACACACGGCCAAGGCAACAAAGGAATGGCTCAAGAAGAAGGACATTAAGGTCCTGGAGTGGCCTAGCCAGTCTCCAGACCTTAATCCCATAGAAAAATCTGTGGAGGGAGCTGAAGGTTCGAGTTGCCAAACGTCAGCCTCGAAACCTTAATGACTTGGAGAAGATCTGCAAAGAGGAGTGGGACAAAATCCCTCCTGAGATGTGTGCAAACCTGGTGGCCAACTACAAGAAACGTCTGACCTCTGTGATTGCCAACAAGGATTTTGCCACAAAGTACTAAGTCATGTTTTGCAGAGGGGTCAAATACTTATTGCCCTCATTAAAATGCAAATCAATTTGTAATAAAAGACTCTGTCAGGCACTGCCGGTCTCGGCTTGTCTTTTATTTAGGTTCTTCTCCGCACCCCCCACTGGCCTCCTCTCGGGCCAGTGTCATCTCGCGCGCGCCCCGTGCACGCTCCCTCTCACGTGCCACGCACGCTCTCTCTCTCTCGCGTGCTCCGCACGCTCCCCCGTTAGCTCCTCTATTCCCGCACACCGCTGGCCGACGGCGTGCTGAGGTCCTTCGGCCACGTGGCCGATGGCGCGGATCTTTCCTCACCACCCAACGTGGCTCAGCCTCTTAACTTCCCCGACTGCCCCGATCTCTTCCGAGCTCCCACTTATATACATTCCCCCCACGTGACCCTGACTCCTCCCCTTCCAGATCGTCAGACCCAGCCTTCCCATACTACCCCGCTGGCTCCGCCCCCATTCACCTCGCCTCCCATTGGAGCCGAGGTGAACAGTGGCCCCTCCCACACGCCCCGCAGACCAGGCTCCGCCCCCCAATACCCCGGGCCGTGTGATTGGACCAGAGCCCAGCAACAACCCCATTTACGCTCGCATTACAAATTTATAACATTTTTGACATGCGTTTTTCTGAATTTTGTTGTTGTTCTGTCTCTCACTGTTCAAATAAACCTACCATTACAATTATAGACTGATCATTTCTTTGTCAGTGGGAAAACGTACAAAATCAGCAGGGGATCAGATACTTATTTCCCTCACTGTACGTGCAGTATTTTTATTGTTTAACTTGTTGTATGTAGTGTATAATGTACTATCTAGATTTAAAGTTTTCGTGACTGCAGGTATCCATACTCTTTGGTTATTTTTATTTTATACCTACGTGACTTTACCGAAAAAAGCAAAGAGTATGTATAATGTACTATATATATTATTTGACACTGAAACAAAGCACAGCTACTCGTGTTGTCACGCACATGGTGTCGATCTCCGGACTGGTACAACATTTGCAGCGGTTTTACCGAATGTTGGAATCCAGATAAGCACGCTCTGGATAATCCATCATTTATATTTAACGTCATCAATGACAATTAAGAATTTAAATAACGAACGGCAGAGATCTTGATATGTATTGCCCACCCATACGTTTACATTAATAACACCACAACGTGACCCTTATTAAAGCCATCAAGTCACCAATGGCTCTTATATGCCAACCCTATACATTTTAACATTATTTTTTTATCCTTACCCAATATACAGTTTAAACCAGCCTTGGCCTCCAATACAAATAAAGTCAGATTTTGATTCTGGCTACTCTGCCTGTATCTAGTGGCCTTTCATGGACAAACGCGATGTTTAATACAATATATTGCGCAGGCAGACCTCGCCAAATGCAGTAGGTTACGTTCCTGTAAAATGCCGTGTTGGACAAAGCCACATTAAACAAATAATAGACAAATAGGGTTGCGTTTCTGGGTCCGCGATGATCACTCCCTCCCGCTTGTTTAACTGATTCTACGATATTTCCACCCTTGTCATTGTAATAAAGGATGTTGAGTTGCTCTCCATTTCTTGTGAGTGTACACTATTTATTTTCCAATTTCACCCCACTCAGTGCCTCTTCTCTTCCTGTAGTCTGTGGAACTGCTCACTGACGGACAAATCGATCCCAGCTCTTCATGACATCATGATCACCAACAAAGCATTGAGGACACTCAAGTAAGCTCTGCTACTCGTGTCTCGCATGCTCTCTGCTGCTAAAGAACTTAGATTCGTTAGTAACACTGTGGCCTTAGAAAAAAACATGGAAAAGCAACGTTTTGGGCAATGGGCCTCCTTCACATGACGTTTATGTGCTATTAGAGCTATTGCCAGAAGTGGGATTCGTAGTGGATGCATTCCAGTGCATTTAATATTCAGGCACATCGCCTGGATAGTGCTTAGATGGTTGACCACCGCACATAACCACAGGCGTTATAGGCAGCAGAGCTAACTTGCGGGCCACAGACTGCAGTGTGCAGCACAATCTACCCTTGAACTATACTACGATCCTTGATCTGCAGTCCCTGCCATCACAGACCTGCAATGACTTGCGTGGTGAAGTATGGTAAAGCAACTCTCATGGCATGGGGAGACGTTCATCCAGCGTGGTTGTTGTGGGGGCTGCGTGGGTCTCGAACTGTGAGCAGCTGCCCGAGTCTCCGTGTGAACCCGTGTCAGCGTGAACCTCTCTCTGTGCTGCAGGTTGGAGAGCAATGGCTTCAGTTGCAAGGGGATGGAGGAGCTGAAGAGCAAATGGACTCACAGAGGAGGCCTGGATATTTATGTTTAAGCTGAGAGGCGACGCTGGCCCTGCAACAGACGGAGGTGCCCCACGCGCGACTCGCACAGCAGCCCGGCGCATTTCACCTCCACAGCTCCGATCACCGGCACCGACTCTGAGCCGGGCTGAGACGACAGAGCGGGGAGCTCTTTGTGAGCTCCACACGAAGCCGAGGGTGAACGCGGGTCCAAGATGCCGATGAGCGTGGTGATTCCGATGATGTGTAACTGTATTTATGAATATGGTGTCGGGAAACGATGTTGGGGGTGGTGAGGGAGGGGTGGCGGGGGGCGTGCGGGGGGGGGGGATTTTAAATGGTCTGGCAGCTCACCATGGTTTCACTGAGTAGAAATGTTTTGCATGAATGTGCGTACATAGAGGTGTGTATCACACTCATGCACATATCAATCTCTTGACGTATGACTTCAATCGTCACGCTATATCTGTTTAATATTCATGTATTTTAACTTTCAATTGCGCTATGATTGGTCTAAAAATAATCTTCAGCTCGCATGCATTTATTAATGATTGTTTTAAAGTTGTTTTTGCTCTGAATTCTCTTTCATCGCTCTAATTGATTAGTTTTCGATTCTGGTGCCTCAGATCACACTTGCAATTGAAACTATCCAGGTTAAAAACCTGGTTAAACAAATACACTTTATACTCTTTGGTTCTTTCGGTAAAGTCACGTAGATAAATAAGTAAATTAAATCACGACGTTTCGATTTCAACAAGCAATCATCATCAGGTATGACAACCACAGCAAGAACATTTTTACTGAAGTGGGAGAGATTCCGGAGTTAGGAAGGCTATATAAGGCAGAGAGGGCGGTAGAGGGGGGGGGTGGTGGGGAAGGACAGGGAGTGAGCGTTGCGTGTACGCTAGGGAATGGGACACGAGACTGGGTGGGGGTGGGAAGTGGGCGGGGCTAGAAGTTCGAGGCTGTGGTTCAGAGATGCACGGGGTGGGAGAGGGGGAGCAAACCGGCAACATGATTGCTGCCAAGATATATGATGGTGGAGCCCAAAACAAAATGGTCGCACTGTTGAACGTTGAGGATACAATTAACTTGGCAAAATAGACTAGTACCCGGCAAATAAAATAGAGCAACTAAGAACAATCAAATTTTTACTTTGTTAATAACATCTTTCCAATGATTGCTCAATTTGTATCCATCTTCTCGGTTGAAGTTATGTTTATATATCTGGATGGCTTCATGAACAAATCTCTGATAGTAGCCATCCAGATATATAAACATAGACATAACTTCAAATGAGAAAATGGACACAAATTGAGCATTCAAACGCTGTCTTCCCGACAGACCTGTTCTTCACCTGAGGACGGCTGCTTGCGTTGTGGCCGAAACGTCGTGATAATTATTTTATTATGTTTTATTTTTATTATTTTATTATTTCCCTTCTACAATTTTTTGGGCTCGACCATCATTTATCATGGTAGCAATCGTGTTGCCGGTTTGCTCCCCCTCTCCCCCCCGTGCATCTCTCGGAAACCCAGCCTCGAACTTCTAGCCCCGCCCACTTCCCTCCCCCCACCCAGTCTCGTTTCCCATTCCCAAGCGGACACGCAACGCTCACTCGCTCCCTGTCCTTCCCCCCCACTCTCCCCCCCCTCTACCGCCCTCTCTGCCTTATGTCTAGCCTTCCTAACTCCGGCATCTCTCCCACTTCAGTAAAACATTTCTTGCTGTGGTTGTCATACCTGATGATGATTGCTTGTGTTGCAATCGAAACGTCGTGATTTAATTTACTTTTTAAATCCTTTATATTAAGTTAACTTGCTTGCTTGCGCACTTACGACCGTGCAAATCTTTCGGTCGTTTTTTAACCCACTTCCCGTGATCCAATCGAGCTGACATTTTGCACACAGACTCGTTGTGCGTGACAATTTATTTTCGTGAAATTTTTTTTCCAAAATTTTACACTTTATAGGAAAAAATAAATTATATGTAATTACCAATTGCTTAATGGTGGCAGGCAATCATCTGACCCATAGGTGGCAGCCATCTCAAGCCAGAGGACGAGAGGACTCTAGCCGCCACGCATATAAAGGATTTATAGTGAAAAACTTTGTTTTTACGGGTTAATTTTTATTTTCATCTACGTGCCTTTACCGAAAGAACCAAAGAGTATGGATCCTTGCAGTCACGAAAACTTTAAATCTAGAAAATACACTTGATATTTCTAATCTTTGCGTATACACATCTGTATACCAAATAATAGCACTTCAACAGCCTCGGAATGCTTAACAATGTATCAATAATACCATTTTAATGTACAATTTTATTGGGAGACTGTTGTATCCTAACCCTTCTTCCATAATTGAGATTAATAATATTTGATGATTTTTATATATTATCTTTTTACTTGTTTTTTTAATGAGTGAAACACACCAAAGCGCACCAAACTGCAAAACACCAGGTGTTGTTAAGTAATGAACGAGAGGAGGGCTAGGATGACAGAATTGCAACCTTGCTTCAAGGCAAAGGCAGTGAAAGGAAGCAGAGGGCCTTTGTCTAAGTCATAACCACAGAAAGCCAGGAATCATCACTGATTGTGTGTTAGGGATTCCGAGCTAATTAGAACACGTGCACACAGAAAGGGAGGTAGAAGCACGCCTTGTTCTCCTGCAGCTGAGGAAACATAGATAAACCCAAGAAGGCCAAGAATTAAATTAAGTGGGTCAGCTCAAGGCTGTGTGCACAGGGGGGGAGGCAGAGACAGTGCGGGGGTCACCAGAAGTTCGCGTTCGCCTAGTTAAGACAAAAAGCTCAATTATTCTGTATTGCTATTAAAGTAACGTTAAAGTCGGAATTTAACAACAGGGTAGGCTAAAGTTTGATATTCACACCCACTCCAATTAAACCAGGTCACAAGTACGCCTACTGAACCATCACCATCATTAAGTCAATATGAAATGTTATTTCCATACTTTAATGCTTTCTATACAACTCGACCCGAAGCATATGCATGAAAAGACAAAAGTAAAACTTATGAAAAGCCAGGATAACGGGATGAATCACCACCAGGTCGAATATAAATACATAGAAAAAAAACGATGTTAAACCCAGGGTCGGAGAGAAAGGGAGATCCCGGCCGTCTTTGTATCCCCGCAGCGCGGGAGGGGAGTGTGTGTACGCTCGGGGAGACGCCTCCACTTGGGTCGGGCACCACGATGGGAAACGACAGACCTTGGGTTACATGCGGAATCATGGCTGTGAAATAGTAAGGGACAAATGTTAACTTAAAACTTTTGGCCATTTCTTTGTGCGCCGGGTCGGAGAGAGCGTTGCCCCTCCCTCCAGGTGGTGCGAACAAAGACGCCTATGAGACATTTGTGACGTCTGTGTTTTGGGTTCATGGGGAAGGCCAGACAGGAGATAATGTTGCGCCCAGACAGAGAGACGACCTCGAGGCAATTTGTAACATCTGATTGTTTGCTCGTGGGTTTTATGGAGGGAGGGGGACAACGGAATACCGTGAGTGATGCACACAAGGACATACGGACGTACGGACACACACGTGGACACACCTGCCTACGGACAGATCCTGACACAGCAAAAATCGAAAGAAGTCCCGCCTTGTGGGCGGGATCCAGGGGGAATTTTCGGCATAAAGTAAAGGATCCTGAGCATTGGAAATCAGTGCGACGGGAGGGTCGACTCAGGAGGAGTGCGACCAGCGGGTCCACTCGGGAGTGCGACGGGAGGGTCGACTCAGGAACGAGTGCGACCAGAGTGGGTCCACTCAGGAGTGCGACCAGCGGGTCCACTCAGGAGTGCGACCAGAGGGTCGACTCAGGAGCGAGGGCGACCAGCGGGTCGACCCAGGAGCGAGCTCGACCGGGAGGGTCGACTCAGGAGCGAGCTGCGACCAGCGGGTCGGCTCGACTCATCTTCAGCTCGTCAACCTCTGCCGAATCGGGGGTCTCTGCTGCCACCGGAGTGGTGAGCATCGCGGATCGGCGACAACCCAGAGCTGCACGCTACGAGCGAGTTGTGGGCGCCACCTACCGACCGGGTTCCGAACTGCGACAGCGTATCAACGGGCATCCGAACCAGTTCGCCACGGTGACAGGGGATCAACTGATACGTATGACGCGCACCGCCCCCTCACCACACGACCACCAGGCGTCTGTTTGACCTAAAGAATCGACTCCGAACACTGACTATTCAAGACAACTCTTACCACTCAAAAACACTCGAACCCATAAGCCATCCGTGGCTGGAAAGCATCGCAACGAGACCGAGTGATGGCCCTCCGTCGGTTATAAGAGTATTCTTAAATTTTATCTTTAATATTTAGTGGGCTGTACTCTTAATCGCATAAATTCCCAACAGATCCATCAATACGAACTGATTCTTGGCACCTCCTTCCGCCGAGCCACGCTCACGTGGGGAGTGGTGGCCCACCGGACCCTTATCAGGTGATCTGGTCCCCAATTAGTAAACTTGGTATAAGATAACGAGCTTCGGAAAAGGAGCACCGTCGCAGGCCCTTACTCCGAGCCGTTCTGTTGTCAGATAACCTGCCGATGTATCTGTTGAGATTGGTGCCTTTAAGAATAATAACTGTTTTTGATTGTATTTTTTTTTTTATCGCCGTATAATCTTTCAAGTATCTTTCAGTCATAATCGCCGCACGTACTCGCATCCTCTACAGAATATTCAACTGTTCCGTGACCCAAGGTGTTAACAACGTGATAAGGGTTGCGTATGATCAATAAGGAGTGCGGTACTGCGTGAACAATATTGAGTATAATCATTCATTAACGTTAAGGTTTTCTTAGCATAATATTTGCATGTTTTAACGACTCTCTCTCTCACTAAGAACCATCGCGTTATGCGGGATCCATGTGCCGTTGTCAAAGTGAAATCAGACAATCGTTGATGATACTGTATTGATGCCGTATTGACGTTCCGGGATTGAGAGTTCGCATACTATATCATAGTTAAGGTTGAATTAGTAATAAATTGATCAATACAGAAGTGGTTGTGTGATTCTTTCCTGAAATCTATGCATAAGATCTGCTTCTGCGTTGAGATTTGAACTTGGTGACCTTAATAAACACACTAATACATACTCAGTAAATGTTAAAGCGATAACGGGGTGAACCGGGGTCTGGTTATCATAACGACTTGCGTTATCATAATTACACCCACTCGCATAATTAATACGATTACCTCTCGAATTGGCATAATTAAAATGTGCGTAATTACATGAATTAACATATTTC